CCTCTGCTGATTACAAGAATAATCACATATCCATTCTTCCCTGCGTTAAAACATTCATGAGGACATAATAATCACATTACGAGCTTAGAGACAGAGCCAGACATGATCGGCAACAGAACAATTTAATTTGCAGTGCCGCAAACTGACTGTTCGGATATCAGTGACATCCCATCTGACTGTGGAGATTTGTTTATTGATCCAATAAAATAATAAAAACATGTAATTCCCCCAATCTGCTCAGTGAGGCGTTCTCCCAAAGCGAGTTTGGGATGAGAGTACAGTAAGAATGAGGCCGTGTCAAACAACGACGCACTTTACACCAGGATTACAGCTAATCCAGTCACAATAGAGACTTTAAGATGCTCTAAAGGAGCAAATCCCAAATGTGGATTTTGTTAACTTTGGTTCTACATTTTAAACAGTAGACAAAACAACTGGCAGCAACACTGGGTGAATGTCTTTGTTACTGCACATCAAACACAAGCACACGGACAAGTCGTACATTTTCAGTATTTTTCATCTGACCTAATGAAGGGTGCAGTGAACGCCAGGCAAATCCTTCACTCTGCAGAACAGCCACTCTCCAGCCTCTTCATCAAATGAGGTCATTAGCTCAATCACAAGTCCCAGCTACATATAAACAGTAGTCGAGAGCAAATCCAGCAGGCAGAAAACGTTTAAATCAATCTTATTCACATCAACAGTATACAGCTCTACAGCTTTATTAATGCTGAGAGATTTGTACAAAGAACAGACTCTTCAATTAATTAATCATATTTATATGTGATTATTATTTTATATATGAATATACTATGTATTAAAATTGTAAAAGAAAAAATGACTGGATCTATATACACAGATATGTTACAATAATCTTCATATAATGACGGTGTTCCTCTTTTCTTTAGCTGATTTTTTTAATGCTATGTTAGATTCCGCTCCTATTTTAAACCCATCTGACCCTCAGTGGTCACACTCACAGACTGTTAGTGCCTCACATCTACAGCCAATTGTCTTTTCCATCTGAAATCACTGTAGCTTCTGCAGGACCTCTTTGTAGATGGAAAGATAGAACTTTATTAATCCCTCGGGAATTCCCTTCCAGAAATTAAGGATATTTCTCAACACTTTCACTAAAAGCGTGAAATCTTTCTTTTTTTTCTGGCTTGAAGCAAAACTGCTGCTCTCTCATCTGAATCTCTATTCTTCTCCTTCCTTCACAACCTTTTTATGATGTCTCTATTTTGTAGATGATTGGCCAGTGATGCTGCATCTCTGCAGAGCACCACTGATTTTTTTTTTATATATTGATAATGTATAACCCTAACCCTAACCCTCTCTCATTCACTTTTCTTTTTTTTTTCCAAAGTCCAACAATAAATTAAAGCCTAAAATAATATTATTAATTTTCTTTTTTCAGTGTAGGCTCGTAAATGTCCCATGTGCTTTGTCTCAGACTGAGATGCAGAAATCTTGGTCCTACCTTCACAGTAAGTCGAGTCCCCATGGATGGAGGCGTAGCCGCTCTTGCATTCACACTCTGCTTTAGTATTCCTGTTTTTACACTCAGAGTTTTCCCCACAAATGAGTCCCTCAGCACAGAAGTCATAACCTGAAACAAAGAAGCCTTAATTTACTTTGGTCCTAAAATTTGCTCTTTGCGAATGCAGACAAAAATCGTGTACAGATCCTCAGAAGCAAACACATAAACACGCACTGAAAAAACAACAACATCCAAACGAGCAAATATACCAATGCGTAACCTTGTTCCTGTCAAACGGCTGTGCGAATGACAACGCACCTGATTTATCGTGTTGAGGGCTGCAGTGGATTTGCTGCAGTAACATATACATTTATTTTCATTTCATATACGCACACTGACACACACACACACATACTCTCACACACAGGCCCAAAACATGCTGATCGTGTGTCAACCTGGTGGTAGATGTCATCAATCCTGAACACAGTAACAAAGTCAACAGTCCGTTATTTTGTGTTTGAATGCACTGACTTTAAAGAAACGTTCCAAGGGCAAAGTGCACCTTGAGCAAATGTGCGTGACTGTATTATCAACTGACAGAAACCGTCTTTTTGTTTGAACAAGATGTGTGTACGCTTTGATGATACTGACTCTACCTACATATTTCATGAAAATATATTTAATCAGTGGTAGGCTCTGTTGAATTGTAATAGAATAAAAACAATGTGCATGAATTTTGGTCAAATTGATAAACCTGTCTACTGTGTTCTATACAGTTCTGAAATTTCAAAAAAAAATTCAACCCATTAAAAAATATCAGTCAGATTAGGTTAAAAGAAATTATGTTTAAAAGAAAATAGGTTTATGGTAGAGGTAAATAGTTAAAAAATGAAGGAGAAGAGAACAGACAGACAGACAGAGACATGTCCGTCTCCTGCTCTGCTCTGAGCTGATGTCCCTCATCACGTCGCTGTAATGAGTGACAGACTGGCTGCATATGGAAACTCAGTGAGGATTGATGAGGATGGAGATGTGTATTCATCCTTTTTTTATCTTCGTCAAGAGCAACATTACAGTAGCTGATAAGACATGCTAAGAGAGTATAGCATGTACTTAGTGTGTAGTGTGTAAAACTGTGACATTCTGAATGTCAGGATCCTTACTCTGAAAAGACATTTTTTAAGTTCATCTTATTTCCTGCCATCCTTTTTACCTTAGTCTGATCTTTTTTATTTCCCCCCTTTCTCTTAATAGACATAAATCTATTGAATATGCCTTTAATTCTGAACATCTCTACCTCTCACGTCCTTCCTACTTCATTACATGCAAAAACCTGTCTATTTTAGATGGCACTCTACAGCCGTTAATCGGTCTACAGTCTTTTGTTCCTGTCCAACCCTTCACACAGGTACAAACCCATTTTCCTTGTTTCATTTTACTTTAATAATTTTCTCTGAATGTGGTCATCAAAGTGAAAATGCTAAATCAGTACCATAGGTACTGTGTTTTTCGTAATGGCTCCACTGCTGTCGGCCCCTTATATTTTGTTTATTAACTGTATTTACTAAATTACTGATGACTATTTACCCACAGCACCACACTGCCAAAGCAGTGGGGTTCGGGCAAATTGGCATAGGAGCAGACAGACCAATCTGCTTTTTTAGGCATCGCAGCCAAGAAGCATTTATTCTAGTTGGAAAAGAAGAGAGAGCATTTGTGGTGAAATCAAATAGCAGGCGCTCACTTTCAATCAGGATTTGCTAGGCGGCCAAAGGTGTTTGGTTCATGTACTTCCACGGCCAAATACAGAGTGATGTGTACTACTGCAGTGACTGAATTAAGAAGTGAGACGTACCTCTACAGACGTTGCAGCATCTGCCCTCAGGTAAGATCTGCTCACTGACTGTGCAGTTGATCTCCGGGCAGGTTTCTGTAATTTTCTCCATCAGGCCGTTCTGTGTGGAGACAAAAGAGAGTGCAGATATGGAGTCATTCTCAGGGTGTGTCATGATAAGTATATGACAATTGTTTTGTAATGGGAAAATAAAGAAAAAATCAGAAATAGGATAGAGATCAGAAGTTAAGAGATAACACAGTTCCCTGTCTGGGTCAGGTGTGGAGTTACTGCTTCAAAGTGGAGGCCTTTTTGGGTCACCAGTGAGAGGGAATTGCAGTAGGAGATAGACAGATTGATCGGGGCAATTTTTGACTCTATCATCTCTCACACTAACAGATATTCTCATGTTTTGTAGCCATGATGGAAAGAATGAGGTCAGAAATAAAAGCTGCCAAAATGAGTTTCCACCACAGGGTGGTTTGGGTGCTACAGCTCCATGATGAGGTGTAGCCGGCATGCAGTATGAGTCTAGGATGAACCTTGATCTAGACCTAGAATAGAGACCACATCCCTTGGCTGGTTGTGGGAGTGCAGAGAGAGGTTGGTGAGAACAACACAGCAGAAGATCACCTGACTTCTCTGTTGACTTTCAAAACACATACAAAAAAAAAAAAGGAATGGGAGGCCAAACTGGGCCTTGTTACCAGGAACGGACTTCATATTTTGGAGGTGCATTCAGGTCAATGAAAAATGCATGGAAAAGTATTTGCACAGTGGACATAAATATGGAAGTAGCTGCACTGGGCTGTGCATGCACATACAAAACAAAATACAAATGAACCAATGGAACGTTATCCCTCAAAGACACTGTCTGCTAATGCTAGCACACAGGCTAAGTCTAGTTAAAACATCCTGCTGCTGACAAAACACATTTAGATTTGTCTGCATGGCCTTTTTATTAAATCATTTATGAATAAAGGCAAGTCTTTTCCAAATTAATGAAAAATAGAGACTTAATAAGCATTTGATGAGCGCCACTACCTATCATTAATCATGACAAAAGATTATTTGTGGAAAATTAGTTTCTGCCTATTAGTATTGCCACAGGTCTTTATGGGTTTATTATCGTCATGAATTAGTAGATTAAAAAATGATAAAATCTTCAGCCCTTTTTTAGAGAATTAAAAAAAGCTGTGAACAGTGAGCACGTGGAAAAGGGAGGACAGAGCAGAAGCAGCAGTGGTGAGGACATGGTTGCTGTGAGAGTGAAAGTCAGTAGTAATGAGCAGCAGGAAGACAGTGGCAGTGCATGTGGTGGCAGCGAGGCAGGATGTGGGTAGAATGAGTCCGGCAAGAAAATAAAAAAGAATAGAAA